TAAAAAATCTTTCAAATAATTACTCTTACTGTACAGTTAAGTGATATATATTTGGGAGCCAGTTTTAGAATTGTATTAGATTGGTTGGTTATAAATTTTTTATAATAGGTTTAAACAATTTTGATTGGTCAATAGTTTGTCATATGACGCATGCCCATTGAGGCATACCGATTTTTTTACCCATGCCCCCCAACCTTAGTTCGGAGCTATCATGTGAGTGATCATCATATATTTAACCAATCAGCATCCCGGAAATGAACAGACGGAAATTGCAAAGTTACGTTTTTGATATTTTGATCTACAATGCATCAAAAACAAAATTTTGATATCACTTTGCATAGACAATAAAAGTCCTTCGCTACGCTCCGGACAATAATAAAGTTATGGCAAAAATGCTGTAACTCATTATAATTACTAGATATTAGAGGCAGTTACAAGTTACGGCATCATTGTGACGATTCGCCTGTATAAATAATCTCATCTGACTAACAACACATAGAACCTGCCAACTAAGTTGTTGAACTTCACTTAGTTATGATGATAATTACTTCAACCTTTAATCTTGATGAAAAAATCTGCTATCTGAATTATCAATTACTTTGTTGTCCATCTCCGAGTCCTGATCGGTCCTTTCAGGAACAATCAGGACTTGTATTTATATCAGATATAGGACTTAGATCCTGGATCGAATTGATTTAAACTAGGGATGAACAACGTAATTATCATGTAAGTGGTAGCTAAAATTTAACCCTTACTATTACCTGTATAAGCATGAAATAATGTGAGGGGCGTTGTTTTGAATAATGGCCTGAATTAGGCTTAGTTTAGTCTAAAATTCGAAATTACACCCCTGCGCGTTATTTCCACAGGTAATTTGATTACAAATATCAATTAAAAGTTTGTTTGTTTGAACGTTGATAGCATATTTGCGTACAATATCAAGTTGACATTTACCAAATTTGCAAATTTGACATTTGCTTCGTGAACTTCCAGTTGGCCATTTACTAGGCTCTCTTTGGCAAGCTTTTTATCCAGTTAATCTTAAAGCCAAATGCATATTTTGTTATTTAGCCTATATCTGGCTAATAGTTACTTATACATATTAGAAAATATACAAACACTTTTTTAGATGTTTGAAACTATCTTATTAATGCTTAAAACTATTAACAAAAAACATTTTATAATATCAAAATTTAAAATATTAATAATTAAACTTTTTATATTAGTTTTGAATTGTAGCAATAATAATCAAGTATTTATACCAAATTTCTACATAATCAGTCTAAAAAAGATTTTTAATGTTTGAAGCTTTAAAACAACTAATCGATACATTAATATGAGCGTAATAAATACAGTAATCTTTTAAACCATAATGAATACTGTCATTCTATTTTTCACTCATTATTTAAAATCTTCTCAGTAAAGAAGACCTAAAGGTTTGGGTAGATTTTTTCCATATAATAAAAAAATTTAAATTGTCATTAAAAGGAGAAGCCGATGTAACTAAAGTTGAACCTTTAACGGTTGATCGAAAAGAAATTTATTTCATAAGGTTTTAGGTAGTATGTATAGCGAACATTACGAAAAACAGAAAAAGTATGCTCAAGCATTTAATTCATCAATTGTGATGCTTGAGCGTAATCATGATTATTATCTGATCAATTAATTTAGATGCTTGGGAACAACCTTAGACCGGTTAGAAATTTGTTGAGAATTAATTGTTTATAAGTTTAATATATAAAAGATGTAAAAGCAATGCTTGAGCGACCTTTATTAATGGTAAAGTTTTGAAAAAAAAAGTTGGGTTTTGCCTCCCTGATTTGTTCATATGGTAGCTCATTTGGTTAATTTATTCAATTTTGACTAATTAAAAAATTTACTTCTGATCCATTAAGTGAGGTGCTTGAGAACACCTCTTGGGTATAAAGAACATATAATTATTTTGTATATATTCTAGAAACTACTACGTACATAGTATCATTATTCTGGAATTTCTGGAATGTATGTTGCATTGTGTACTATAATCATCAATATTATTTCCTTAATTAATGATTTGCTTAGTGGCGCAACATTTAATACATTTTTGATGTGATTAGGTGATTTGAAATTGGAATAACAATGTAATTTAATTTATGACGTAGATATTATATCAATATTACAAAAATAAAAATTCATATTTTTATATACTGATCATGCCGAAAAAATTACTAGCCGATTTATAGGTATCCCAGGAATAATGAAAACATCTGTAAAAAAATTTTTTAAAAAAATCCAGGTCACCGGGTCATAAAAGGTTACTTGGTGATATGAAAACCAATAATATAAGTTTGTATGGCCTTAATAATTTTGATCAAATTATTCAAGCTGATATAACCAATTCTAATGAATTGAGAATCTTAAAGTTTAATTATTATAATTAGCCATTATATAATTGTACATAATAAATTGAAGTTTGATGCTGAAAATTTAAATATACATTTTGTAAAAAAAAAAATTAAATAAATAAATATTGAAGTCTTTTATTTGGCATATTAAAGTTTGCTGCTGAAATTTAAATAAATATTTTGTAAAAAAAAAAATAAAAATTAAATACAGTAAATAAATAATGAAGTTTTTTATTTGGCGTATTAAATTTTTCTATTCGATAATAAAATTCAAAAATATGTAAGAATATATAAAAAAATATACTAATAGATAAAAATTTTTTTCCATCTTTTAACACACCTAGTATCACCACCACAATCAGTTACATAATCGCTTTTTAAATTTCAATCTGCGCACAATAATAACAGAATCACAAGATCACGAGATTTTTTGAAGAAATAATTGAAGTTTTGGGTAGTATTAGAATAGTGGGCTTTTTAGGTACATGGTTGTGTTTTTTTTAATAACACTATTCATTCTTGTTTTTTTTTTAAGTTTTTATCGTATTCTTGATAACTTATAAAACTTATATATAACATATAAAAAACTTACATGAATGGTGTATTTTTATATATACTTCACGCTTGGTGTACTTTTTTGATATCTATTTCGATTACTATTTAGCTTTCTATTACTAAGGAGTACACTCCCCTAAGGGTGTACGACGCAGTTGCGGAGTGAAGCGGAGCATAGTTATCATATTTGATTTCTATTTAGTTTTTTGTACTGGAGGAGCATAGCGACTCCGAATGCAAAGCGTAGTGTAGCATTAGTTATCTGTTTAATTCACAATTAGTTAGTTTCTTAACACTAAGGAGTATATACCTTAGGTGTGAGCGACGCAGTTGCAGAGCAAAGCGGAGCATAGTAATCTTTTAGTTATCAATTAGGTTTCTATAGTAAAAAAGATAGTTAAATTTTATTGTCATGCAGACCTAAAGGATGACTCGAAGAGTCATAGGTGGTCTTCAAGCATCTGAAGTTGTCGAGCATAAAATTGCATGACATAATATCTTTTAGAATGTTTTTTGCAACGTCCACAAGCAGAAGCTGTAGGTTTTCCACAATTATTACATAAAACACGTTTTTTAGATCTCCAATATTCATGGCACCCTTCAGGACGTCGACACCCACGTCCGCAGACTTCTCCAGAATTGTGTATATATTCGCATATATATTTACCCTAACTTTTCGATATATTTACCTCCCTCGATATATTCACTAAACATTTCAATAAATGAATAATTATTTTTTATTTAAACAAAAGATCTGGTATAAAAAACACTGAAAAAACATATTACTATAGCTAAGATACTTAAATATCCAGGTTGTGATCGAGAAATAAGAACTGATAAAACTCGAGATCTTAATAAATACATGAATTTAAATGGAAACCTTCGTAAAGGACAATGCCAACCAGCTTTGCTTATAATGCAAAATGTAGGAAACATTACTCCAGAGCAAAATATACCAAAAACGTTACTCCAGAGCAAAATCTGCTATCAACTCCTGAAGGTGATATCATATCGTTCGATGAAAACCCACCAACACTTCAGCCGAAAGAGGCAAGTGCGCCGGCAGTCGACCCTTTAACTGATAATGTTCCAAATACAGAAGCAGAATCAAGTTCTAATACTCAAAAAGAACAAAAAAAGAAATTAATTTTAATGATAGATGAATTAATAAAATGGTTATCAAAGCCGGAAATAAAAAACAATAAAAAAATTAGATCAAAGTATATACCTAAAAATGATAAAGAATAGTATGATTTAATGGAAATAGATAACGAAAAAAATAATGAACCAAGTGATTCAGAATATGATACTGCTGAAGAAGAACCAGATATTCATTTCGAAAAAATCAAGGATCCATACATTAATAGAATAGCAGAAGCCAGAAAATTTAATGAAGGTGAGGTATGTGATTATTATGCATTTGTACCAAAAGGATACTATGCTGAGGGCGAGCCATTAGCTTTCTTTGAATCAATCAAAGAAAAAATTGCAGATATTTATAAAAAAGAGTTAGCTTTAAAAGGTGGATTAAAAATAAGATTCGTGTTATATGCATATATAAAGAAAATTAAACTGGAAACTCCAGAACCTTTATATAAAACTTTTCCATTCAAGCATGAAACAATAGAAATTATTAGAGAAGATCAAATTAATGCAACAATAGAAAAAGGATATAACAAAATTATAGATCAAATAGAAGACGAGGCATTACAAAAATCTGGATGGTCATTCGTCCGAGCAGAAGAGATATTTCTTGAAATAAGCATATTCAGACCATTGCAAGGTAGTAGTTATTTACTTTTACCAGAAGCTTTAGATAAGCCACAACTAGAAATAATTAATCCACAAAATAGGGACGATAATGAGTGTTTTAAATAGTGTATCACACAAGAGAGGAAGCAATAAAAGCTAATAGAAAGCCACCACATCTTAATGAAATCCGGATACTTAGACGAAATGCAAATATAGCAAATTTTGAAGGTATAAAATTTCCAGCAACACTCCATAATATAGATAAATTTGAAGAAAGCAATCCTAATTATGCTATCAATATATTTAAACTAGTTTATAGAGAAGCTTTCGGAAAAATAAAAGTAGATATAGATCTATTACATATTTCAGAACATAATTATCAAGTAGAGCATATGATAGATTTATTATATTTAATAGAAGGTGAAGAGAGTTTAAATGATCGAAAAAATCAAAATGATATACCAGAAGGCTTAAAAACACATTATGTATATATAACAGATTTCGAGTGATTAATGTATAAGTAGAATAACCATTATAATAAAAAATACTTTTGCCGAAAATGCTTGCGATTTCCATATAGTCGATTAGATTTATTACAGAAACATATTCTTACATGTCCAGGTTCAAATAAGGCTTCACAATGTTTAATTCTCCCAGAAAAGGTAAGAATTATGTAAAACCCAAGTATATCAAAAACATGTTAATAAAACCTTATTTAATAACTATAGATTTAGAAGCCAAAGAAATTAAAGCAGATGAAAAAGATAAAAAGAAAATACTAAAAAAGAAATGGAGCAGATAGCAGTTTCATATGGATATACTATTCATTGTTTAGATAAAACAATGCAAAAACCAGTAATTAATCGAGAATCAAAAAATATAATAAAAGACTTAATGGAAAACCTTCAAGAAGATCTAGAAGTTATTTTAGATAAGCTTCGTGAAATAGCTCCATGTGAAAAAATGATACCTGAATTATGGCGAAAATATCAAACTGCAAACAAATGTTGAATATGTGAAGAAAAATTACATGAAGCTGGATACAATAAAATTTGTGTATTCGATTCTGAAACCAAAAAATATTTGGGTACTTCGCATAGAAAATGTCACGGGAAAAAATTAATGATTCAAGGTAAGTTAAATGATGAGCAAAAAGAAAAACATAAATCTTGTAAGGTATGTTTGTATTGCAAAACGCATTACCAGACAAGGAAAAAAATAGAGTAATAGATTATAACCATATTACAGGAAAGTTTAGAGGACTAGCCTATAGTGGATGTAATTTAAAATTACGAATCGATCCAGAAACAATAAAAATCTCTGTACTAGTTTGTAATAGAAGTGGTTATGATTTCCATTATCTTATGCAAGAAATAGCAAAAGTGATAGATAAAAAAATAGTGCCGATAGCAAATAATTCAGAACAATATATTACTTTCTTGGTTGGTCAACTTCAATTTATTGATAGTTTGAAATTTTCATTACCTGGTTTAGCTAAGATGGCAGAAAACTTATGTGATGAAAAGAAGGGCCAAACTAAAACACCAGAACAATTAGCAAAATGTTTTCCAATTATGTCAAAATTCATCTCACCTCATTTATTATCATTGCTTACATGTAAAGGAATATTCCCATATCAGTGGTTAACTAGTAAAAACAAATTCAAAGAAACGCAACTACCTTCTTGAAAAAATTTTAATAGTGACTTGGATGAAGTAAATTATTGCGAGCAAGGATGTGAAAGCAAAGAATGTGAACATGAGAAAATTTACACAATAACTCAAAAGGACTACGATTTTGCTCATACAGTTTGGAAAGAAACTGCTTGTAAAACCTTTGATAATTATCACAATATTTACCTCAAAACGGATATTCTTATATTAGCAGATGCATTCAAGACATTCCGAAAAGCTTCATATGAGGCATTCAAGTTAGATCCGGCAAATTATCTAACAGCTCCAGGCTTGGCGTGGAACGCTTGTATAAAGGTAACTAAAGTAAAACTAGAATTATTTAATGAGCATCAAGGGGATATGCATAACTTCTTTACAGCAATGAAAAGAGGTAGAATGTTCTTAGCTAAAAGACATATAGCTCGAGCAAATATTCCAGGATTAGAAGGGTACGATGGAAAAAAAGCAAAAAAATAGTTACTCTATCTAGATGCCAATAACTTATATGGTTGGGCAATGTTGCAATATTTACCAACCGGTGGATTTAAATAGCTATCAACAAAACTTTTGGATGCATCTCACCCTTTAGTGCAGAAAATTTAACGATAAAAGAAAAATCAAATCGAGGATGTGCTTAGAGGTTAAGTTATCAATTTCAAAAGAATTACATCCCAAATTTTGAGACTATCCAATGTCTCCAGAACGAAAGAATGTACCATATGATTGGTATAGTTTAAAACAAAAAGAATGGGCAGGTAAACAACATTCAGATACAGAAAAACTTATACTAACTCTCTATAACAAGGACTATTATGTTATTTATTATAGAAATCTACAACAATATATAAAGGAAGGATATGTTCTTGAAAAAGTATATCGAATTCTAGGTTTTGGACAATCACCATGGTTGGAACCATACATTGCAATAAATACTCAACGACGTGCAAAAGCAAAGAATGCTTTTGAAAAAG